TAGAGCAGGGTTGGTGACCTCCTTAAGACCACAAGGCTGGTACGTGGCAGGACCCGTGTTCACCTCACAGCTGTCTGGCCCCTTGTCTCCTCTGCTTCACCATATCCTGCTCTTCCTCCAAGTGAGCATGCTTCTGCCGTCCATCCTCCAGAGATGCATGGCCCCTTGTCTCCTCTGCCTCACCATATCCTGCTCTTCCTCCAAGTGAGCATGCTTCTGCCGTCCATCCTCCAGAGATGCAGCTCAGGGATGCATCTGAATGCCAGGGGCTCATAAATGGCAGCAACGTAGGAACAAGTAAGTGCTTTTATAGCTCAGAGTAGAGAGTAGAGACGTGAAAACCCCATACCCAAAAGAGGCAGTTCAAGGACTACAGTTCCAGCGAGTCAAGGGGACTTCTTGGAAGAAAGGGGGATTTCAAGAGCTACTTGAGTTACAGAAGACAAATTTAGTGGTTAAGAGGAGATGGGTGCATATGACATGGGTCAGAAGACAGCTGAGAAGTGCACCAGGACTTGGAGATGGCTGAACTGATTAAAAAGGTCAGGGTGATGCAGAGTCCTCTCCTCCTCTGGGATCGTGTTGATTTTAGCACATTCATGTCTTTGTGGGTCAGCATGGCTCCATGTGAGTTAGCTTAGTCGGCCTCACTTAAAGTGCTGAAGAACTATTAGAAATAATTTGGTTTTACTAAGACTTTCTATATCAGTGTGCCATGAAAGTAGCATGTTCCAGAAATGATTTGGGCATTGCAAAACAAGCACTGTGGCCGTAGGCACAGCTCTCTGACTCACCCTCCTGCCTCTGCATCCTTGCATGCAGTTTTCTGAAAGGGAATGAAGAATGAGTGGAAAAGAACATGTGATTCTGGGTTTGGCATATGGTGGTGTTGTGTTTCTGTCTTGCTCACATGCTGTGGGATATTCTGCTATTCGTTGCATAGATATAATGTATTTTCTGAAAAGATGTAAATTTCAGCATTTTAAAATCAGGATTAGATTTCTAAAATAAGTAAAGGCAAATATGTGTTATTTAATATATGCTTAAAATAATTATGCATAACTGTAGACTAAAGCTTGTACACATTTTTGTCATTAAATATTTACCTATTGATGCTATTGTAAAGATTTTCACGTGGATTTATGAACTGCTCTGAAAATCTAAGATATGTGATAAATATTTGACACTGTCCCCCCATTAGAGCAGCAGTGGTAATGATGTTTGCTTTGCTTTAAGTGCTGGCCACACGTTATTACAGGTTGGGGCTGTCATGCATTCTGTGTGCTGATCTCATCCCATTTCTATTTACCCACATTCTTAGTGAGTTTTATCATATATATCGCTGGAACACCTTTTTGTACCTGGCCAGGTTAGAAATACATAACAATACCTATCTTGTTAGCAGGGCCTGCATCTTTAGGTTCCCTGCTGACAGTTGGACTGATGAAAGCGGTATGGTGGCAGAGTGTCTTTCCATCTGGGCACAAGCTAGTCATGTGTCTTCATCCGTGTGTTGACCACAACTGGCATTTCTCTGGTTTTGTTGTTGTTTCATTGTTGATGTCCTAGCCAGCAGCTGGCACCAAGTAACCTCTCAGGAAACATCTGTTGAGTGTTATTGATGAAGTTATGTTAGCAAATGTGTCAGGTTACGTTTTTATATTTTTAAATTAAATACACAAAGAGTCAAATGGTTGCACAGAGCTGGTTGTGGAAATGAACTGCCCCTCTCTGCCTCCCTCCCTGTTTGGCCGCTCCCTAAAGCCGTCCACTTTCAGTCCCTTTAGCCGATCCGATTGTCTGGGTGTTTACCGTAGCAGGTTTATGTTGCCGCTTTCTGATCCTTTGCTTTGGGGCGCTGTGGTCTTCCTGCAGTGGCTGCGAGAGTCTGCTGCTCTTGTCATTGTCACCTCTGCCACACGTACGCGTCCCTTCGCCCTTCCTCCCAGGTGTTCGTTCTGCTTAGATCAATGCTTAGTGCCCAGATTATTAGCCCGGGGTGTGTGCCGTTCAGTGACAGACTGTGATGCTTTTCCTACTGTTCTGTGCTTTTTTGT